ACACCTATGGCAAATCATGAGTCAACAATTACAAAGCATGTACAAAGAAGATTGTAGCAGCCTTTTTTTGTATCCATCATACTATTTCCATGTTACCAAACAACACACAAAAACTAACCTTATAAGTAAATATTTTGACCCAAAAAAACTAAAATCAAAACTATCATATATAAATTAACTGACAGTCCAATAAATAAAATGTCGGAGGTTAATATCACCAGTAAGTCGTTGGTACACCTAATTAATGAGAGACCAAAGAAAATAAGAATTTATATATATAATCCCAAAAATAGATGTAAATGCAAAAAAAAAAAACTAAGACCTGCCAACCAACTTCAATACAATTGATATTGTTTGGTGAGCCAGTCGTCACCCATATTTGTGATAACTATCTTGGCGTTTTTACATATGGTTTCCATAGGTTTATAAGCGCTTTGGCTCCACGAAATGTTCCATACGTTTTCAATATGGCGTACTATATGTATATACACATATAAGAAATCACAAAACATATATACATATAATAGACGTATGAATGATGACTTTTAAAATATTTATTCATTTATATAAAAAAAATTCACCTCGCGAGATCCAGTTGAATTAGTTTGTCTAGGCTGATGAATGTTGATGGGATCCTTTTTCCCGTATCTTTCGATCGATTTTGCCCGTAAAATATATTCTTTTCTTGTTCTTATAATCGAAATACTATTTTTTGGACATTTCTCCTTCGTTCTCCAGCGTTGAGTCACCATATTCGATTGTTCTTGCAATTGCTTCATTTTCTTACGATTATACTTTTGCATCCATAAATGTCAATGTCTGCTAATTTAAATATTAGCAAATACAAATTTATATTAAACTGATAAGAGAGACTGAGAGAGACGATTATCGATTGTTTGAGTTTGTTGTAACAAACATATCAGTTTCTTTTGAGCGTAGGAGATTGTAATCCTTTCCTGCTCTTGAGCGATTGTACTTCTCTTTGATAATCAATAAAGCTTGAATTTTTTCAGATTTGTTATCACGTGACATACTCGTTTGAGCACCAAGCAAATAACGTGTACATGTAACATGTTACTACAAATCTAAAGTCCCTAGATCTAGTTTGATCTATACATGTCTTTTGCATCTCTAAAGTCCCTAGATCTAGTTTGATCTATACATGTCTTAATTTATACAAGTAAACGTTTGCATTGGAAGACGTACAAATTGCAAGTAACGTGTTTCATATTTACTTCTTTTTTTCTATGCTTCACTACATACACGAAACACAACAATATAATCAATAATGACCTCGAAAATTACTTCGGATCCAGAGAGAATAAAACAAAAATCAAGATTTGTCCTGATATAAAATAC